TATTTTCCTTAAAATGTAGAATTACATATGCGCCTAAAAGATTTTTACTACAAAAAATAATGTATCTTGTAATACATTATCTAAACTGTCAATTTTCAAAATTTTCCACATGTTTATTGATCTACTTTATTTTAGCCATTTTTTAAGTTTATAATTTTATAATTAAATGTCAAAATAGATTTTCAAATAATTCTAATAATATTTTACCCCAAACGTAAAATTTGAAGGTACAATTTAATTGGATTGATTAGGGTTACAATTTTATAAAAACTACACTTTCTTTTTTAATATATTAAATGAGAATGAAAGCTCAGAACTTAGCCCAAGCACAAGTGGCGTTATCACGACCTCAACCTCAATCTGACGTGAGACATTTTTACAAGAAAACTGGGTCCCCTTTAAGGAAATGTGGGACCAGGTCAACGAATTGACTCGATAGTCGAGCCGACTCGTGTTCTGCTTTATCTGACGCCGCTGAATGCGCCCAGCTCGGACCCACACTTTCCTCCCCACAGCTGTTCGTGTCAGAAAAAAAGACCCCCCGCCAAACCCACAATGTCCGCCATAACGACAAATAAAACATCCATGCCCAAACTACCCTAACTAGTTTCCCACTTATGACGCTAATGCCCTTTCAGCAAACCCCAATGATTTTTTTGTGTTTGGTGGACTGGATTGTCGATTTCCTAAACTAGATCAGAAATCCAAAGGAGTAATCCAAGTCACCGATACATGTTTTAAAACACTTTAAACCAAATAAAAATATGAAAAAAGTTTTTATAAGGTTGCAATTTTATAAATAGAACTAAACCTCAAAAATCCATTTAAAAACGTAGTTTTAATGTTTAAAAACCTTTTGATCGATAATCTCGACATCTAGATGTATGACTATAAAAATAAAAAGATTTTAAGTTTTAAAAATAGTATTATTATATAGCATATTATCTACACAGTCTATTTTCAAAATTTTCATATGTTTATAGATCTACTTGATTTTAATCATTTTTTAAATTTATAATTTTATAATTGATATAAAAATAAATTTTGAGAAAATCTTAAAAACATTTTACATCAAAATTTTATACCATGATAAAATTTGAAGGTGCACTTTACCTCTACAGCTACGAAAGCATATATATGTATGCTAACTGCACGCAATAAAAATTTCAAAAAAAAAAAAGTTGTATCTAACTTTTACAACAAAATCCAGGATAATGAAATTCTATTGCTATTTTCTTAGGTTATAAAAAGTTAAGCAGAACAGTGCCAAGCATTTGATTTCCCAAAATGTAAAATAATTCTAGGCCATACATCCCAAAAAAAACGCCCACCCATATCCACCATAATATCAATAGCCCTAATAATGCTCCAACAAAAAAAATAAAAAAAAAATAAAACGTAGTAGCATCACACTAAAAAAAACTTCATGAAACACTTCAAGCCATCCAAAAAAATTATCCCCCTCAAAAAAAATAGAAAAAGAAGTCAGACTATTAACTTATGGTACAAAAAACTCACAATCACTCTCGTCTTTCAAATTTCAGATCAGGTCCTCGTAAACATGTTATTAATTAAAGTCAAAGTTCAAAAAAATTCCTCAAACTTCATGAAACACTCAAAAGCCATCCAATTTGACATACACTGAATAGGAGTAATTGTGATCTTGTACAAAAAAAAATGATCCAATAATATATATATATATAATGGTAAAAAT